CTCCACTTCTCAGAACCGCCAGACCTTCATCACTTCAGTCATCAAATTCCTGCGCCAGTACGGGTTTGATGGATTGGACCTGGATTGGGAATACCCAGGCTCTCGTGGGAGCCCTCCTCAGGACAAGCATCTCTTCACTGTCCTTGTGAAGGTGAGGAAAGCAGGAAGAGGTGCTATCCCTATAAGATTCAAAGCCTGTTTTCACAAAGACAACTGGATGCTTGTACACACTAAACATGACTTTAGAATTATGGAATCTTAGCATAGTAAATTAGGTTCTTAGATACCATGCATTTCTTGAAAAAGTTATATATTGGAAATTGCTCTATATGCTGTTTTTAGAACCACAATTCATTTCATCTTAACATTTATTCTATGATATAGGTTCATTAAGCATTATGGTCTTCATTTTATAGAAAAGTAACTAAGGTACTGAAAACATGTAAGTAGTTTGGACATCACACAGCTAGTAAGTGTCATAAATACCAGTGTATCTGTCACTGAGTCATTGTACAAAACTGTCTACTGTTATTGAGTAATCTACACTCTGTGCCAGTTATTTGGTAAAAGTCAAAACCAAAGCTAAGGCAGAATCTTGGCTTTCAAGAACACACATCTGAGGAATGAAGCATAAGCAACAACTCTAGCACATTTTGATAAATGCTGTGATACATTTAGATAGATGCATGGTCTACAGAATCCAAAATCAAATGAGCAGTTACCTAATTCTGCTCTTGGGCAAAGTCACAAGGAGCTTTCTAGGTAAAGTGGTGCTGGATCTCACTGAGAGAACTTGCTGCTATTCAACTCAGTGAGGATGGAGATGACACAAAGAAGACAGATTTGTATGTACAAGTGAGGAACAAGTTTTAAGGCCATGAGAACAAATAGGTGGCATGAATCAGATCATGCAGAGACTTTCATATTAAGTTAAAGAATTTTGAACTTACCTAAGGACAATGGAGATCATTGAAAGATTTCATGAACCGATAAATATGACCAACCTTGCATATTTTGGAATGGTTATTTTTGGATTAACTATGAATCATGAAGTAGGTGTATGGAAGCAGGATGCAGTAGGAAATCAATGAAGTAAGTTAAGCAAGAGGTGAACAAGGTCCTAATAGTGGCCCTAACACTGGTGAAAGGAGAGAATATACACAGATACATAAAGAGAACAAATATCAGTAGGAATTGGGTTTGAAGTAGAAAGAATTCCTAGTTTTCTGATTTTGAAGACTAATTTCATTGTCGTGCAGCTCATACAGACAGGAAGTATAAACAGAGGACTCTTTGTTAGCTTTGAATATGAGTGTGACATAACTGGAATAACTGAAAGGAACTGAGTGGATGCCAACCTGGAGGACATAGCAAAGAACACTACTGAACTTATCAGCAAGGGTATATGATTGCCAAGTTAAAACAAATGATAAAAGCAATAGCTATGATGTCGGTCAAATTAGGGAAGGAATTGGCAGTGAATAAATTGAATATTTTTATACTACAACAGTAAGAAGACATGTTTATTGAGTACATTGGAAGGGGAAACACTGATGAGAGCTTCACATACAGTACAACAAAGTGGGCTGCATGTTGGAATTGTCTCTGTTTTGGAGAAGTATTTGTTGCACAAGGATAAATATCTTAGCATGCAGCTTCTGGGTATTTAGTTTCCACAATGCGAATGAGTGAAGTCCAGACTATGAACTTGCTAAACATGTCATTTCCTGGTATATATATAAAATCTTTTTCAGGCAAATCAAACCTGTAAAATTGAGGGACACAAAAGCTAAGGTAGTCCTGGTTGTTCACAGTTCTGTAGTAGGCAGAGATTTTGGTTGCAGGTCTAGGGTGAGACAGTATTGTAGTTTTGTTTGGCACTTCCAGTTAAGAGTTTGGCTGGAGGCAAGATTTTTCTTTTTGAAATTTCTGAACCAAGTTTGTGAAAATATCCTGTCCATTTTCTGACCTCTCAGTGACCTCACTACAACATGGGTTTCAGACTTTCTTCTAAGGTAGATTATTTTCTGTATGGATTCATATATCATGTGATTTGGAACAATCCTTTCATACACTATGAATATGTATTACTCCCATTTGCTAATAAGAAACTGGTAGTCTGATAGCTGGACAGGAAGAAATCGAGCATGAGAGCCAGACTAGGAGGATTCTCGGAAGAGGAAGGGCAGAGTCAGAGTCACTGGAGAGAAGCAAGATGATAATGTTGTACTGAGAAAAGGTACCAAGCCACATGGCTAAACATAGATAATTATTTATTGATTTAAGTATAAGAGTTAGCTAGTGACAATCCTGATCTATCAGCTGAGTAATAATATTAAGCCTCTGTGTCTGTTATTTGGGAGCAAGTGGTTGGGACAGGAAGATGGCCATTTACAATCAAGTTATCAGCTGGCTTCAGAATAACTTCAATATTGGGCTAGTGAGATACCTCATCAGGTAAAGTATTTTCTCCAAAGCATGAGAACCTGGGTTCAAATTTCCAGAGCCCACATAAAGGCCAGATGCAGTAATGCACATCTGTAATCCCAGGGTTTCTATAGAGATGGGAGGAAGAGACAGGAGCATCCCCGGAAGCACATGGACCAACTAGTCTGGCATACACAGTAGCAAAGAGCAAAAGGGATAGTGCCTCAAAGAAAGTGGAAGGTGAGGACTGGTATCTTAGGTCATATGCTTGCACTCACACACACGAGCATGAACATTTTATGTGTGTGTATGTATAGGTTGTATATATGTTTCAGGTGCACATGTATGTGAAGTGTCATTTCTCAGACACTGTCCACCTTGATTTTTGAGTCAGTTTCTCAGTAACCTAAAAATCATGGAGTAGTACAGGCCATCTGTCCAGTGAGCCCTGGGGATCTATCTGTCTTAGTTTCCTCAGCACCAAGGTTAACAAAAATACACCACTTTGTTTTGTGTAAGCATTGTTTTTCCAAGATAGGCTTTCTCTGTGTAGTTTTGGTGCTTGTCCTGAATCTTGCTCTGTAGACCAGGTTGGCCTCGAACTCTCAGAGATCCACCTGGATCTGCTTCCTGAGTGCTGGTATTAAAGGCATACACCACCATCACCTGGTTGCTTAAGCATTTCTTATGTGGGTTCTGTGGGAATTGAACTATTAAACTCAGGTTCTTCTGCCTGCATGGGAAGTACTTTAACCATTGAGACATCTCCACAGACTTCACTTTCATTTATGTTGAATAGCTCCAAAGATCATAAATAGCATCCCTACTCTTAGTTGAAGTATGATTTTCATAAATTATAATGTCTAATCATTGGCTGCAGTTCTGCTCAGTGAAGTGACAGAGAATAAAACTACAGACACAACAGTATCTGAGTTTAGCATTTGAAGACAGACATGGCAATTTGCTTTATAATTCTTCTTCCAGTTAAACATCTTAGATTTTTTTCAACCACAATTCACACAGCAATGTTCAGAGGTGTCCCTAGAATGCCCTTTGGTGACCCAAATAATGCCATTATCAGAGCTCAACTCAGTACTCCAAATAAATAAGAGTCACACAGAATAAAAGTGAATTAACATCTGGTACTGAAATGGACCTGTCACTCAGCCATTACCACCTTCCCCACTTGGTAATTTATCAATACATTGCATGATATGTCAGTGTTGTAAGGTGTATGGAAGCAACTTTCTATACCACTGAAAGCTAGGTAAAGGGCATCACAGAGATAGTTTCAACATGATGTGATACAAGTGAGCTGTGACTGGTCATCTGGAACCTTGGATCTGGTCATAACCCAGACATTAACTTTCTGTGGGACTCCAGTGAAAATTTCCAACTCACATGCATACTGAATAGTTATAATTTTTAAAAATTAATATCATCTGTACTACTCACTTTATTGAGTTATTGATAGACTAAAGTCAGACAAAATAGTTGAAAGTACTTTGGAGAAGAAAGACACTGTGCAAGTATGCATTTACTTTATATACCTATTTGAAATTAACTTCAAACATGCTTGCCTTATTCTACAGGAAATTCGTGAAGCTTTTGAGCAGGAGGCTGCTGAGAACAACAAGCCCAGGTTGATGGTTACTGCAGCTGTAGCTGCTGGCATTTCCAACATCGAGGCTGGCTATGAGATCCCTGAACTTTCCCAGTAAGTGATGCACTTACCCTAAACTTCTGTGGAACCATTTTAAGCACTGTGCTTATTCTAGAGATGTCTTGTGTTCTAAGACCTTGTTTGTGCACTTGCTTTGGAAAAGGTGTCTTTGTCTGCATAGATGTGAGAAACAGTTATCAGAAATGATTTTAAATCTTACTACCTATCAGGTACCTAGATTTCATCCATGTCATGACATATGACCTCCACGGCTCCTGGGATGGCTACACAGGAGAGAACAGTCCCCTCTACAGTTACCCTA